TTTGAGTTGTAGTATTTTCTGAATTTGAAGCTTTAAAACAAAATCTCTCTGATTTATCAACTTGTGTCTAAAGTACAGTCACCAAATGCAAGATTTTAGCAAGTAAAGGTACACAGACAATAAAATTAAAATTCATCATTTTTTCATGCTCTTTCATGAAACAGTCCTACTTATCTCATTCGGAACATTTCAGAAAAAATATTTTTTTCTTGTTCATATTTTTGCTACTCAGATACTAATTTTGTTGAAATATGGGATTTTTATTCCATTTTATTTTCACTGTTAAAGTCTGGCTTGGAAAATTTTTCCTTGGAAATGCATACTTGTCCGATTTCGCGACGGTTCTATAAATAGCATTAACTGTAAAATTCCTAGTTAACAGGAATTATCTTGAATTTTCCTTAATCGAATGCAAAATGTAACCCATGTGCAAAGATAGATCAAGTTTATCTTAAAAAGTTCTCCACGAATACATCTTTTCTCGGTCCTTACATGCTTTTCTGTATTTATCACTCAAGTTCATTGTGTACCTCTCTTTTATCTAATTTGTGAAGTATTCCTGTCTGAATACTAACATTTGAATTTGTTTAACTGATTTTAAAGTACATGTATATTTTGGTCAATGCGTGGGGGAAATGAGGATCTGTGGCACTGAGTGTTCTAAGCATTCCATACTGCATTTTTCTTAAGATTACAGTCAGTTAAAAGATAAATGTGTTCCGTACTTTGTGAAAATTTTATTTACTGATTATGTCTCATCCTCATGATAAATAAAAACATGTGCGCAGGATTGTATGGTTCCAATGTTTAATTAAAATAATGCTTTTCAAAAAAGAGTGGTCTTTCTTATGACATATTAAAAATGCGTTAAAATTTTTAAAGTTGCGGACTATAGATCATTATACGGACTTTCAGTCATTAATACCTATTTTGTATAATTATTTTTGTGTAATTTTATTTACTACCGATAGAAGTTAAATGTCAAAAACCTGTAAAAGTTAAGCAATGTCAGCTTGAAATTTCTATCTCAAAATTATTTGTGTTAGGTCTTTTATGTTAATTACTATGTTAGATCATTATCTGGAACTCTACTCAATATTTCGTTTAATGTATCATAACTATGTAGAGTCATTTGTCAGGTATGATAAATTAAATTTCGTTCTCAAAAGGCTGTAAGAGTTCAGTGCTCAATAAATTATTGACAATATGAAATTGGTATTTTTAGTTAAATTACAATGAATACGTTAAAAATATTCCAAGTTAACAAATTTTTATATTCCAAATTGGGAAAAAGGAGATAAAGTTTCATTTCCATGTATGAATATTAATTCCATGTGTATTATAGTCTTTAAGTTCTCCTTCACAAAATGTGACTATAATTCACATTTAAAATAATACGTTACAATGTGGATATTCTTCTCTGTAGTTAAAATATAATTCAATCTTCTGTACCTTATTAAGAGAGTAAGGCTGTTATAAGTTCAAATAGAGTAGTGTTTATAAAGTTCTGCGGTAAATGGTGGAATCATATTAAGAAATCGAGTGACGTTTTCACATGAAGGAAAAATGAAGGTTCAGTGTATGTTTGGTGATTTAAGTAGGATGTATGCAAGAAAATACAAGATATTTTTGTAAAATATTTCAAACAGTTAGCAAAATTTGTGTTAGTAGTATAAATGAATCTTACTGAATAAAAGGGAGTGTTCTGAATATAGTATATGTATAAGTGTCTGTAGAGTAAAATAAGAAGAAATGAAGTACTATTGGTACGCATCTAAACTTAACTGGGTAGAAATGCTCCATGCATTGGTTTGAGTGGGCTTCATACCATGAAAATTTATTACTCCTTATAAGATTAGTTTAAAGTCAGTAGGTCTTACAATGAAGAAACATGTATTTTTATGTACATGTATTTGTCTGTATTTATTATGAGGAAAAGTTAAAAAATACAGCATGAATATGTTTTATAAGTTAAATATAAGGGTAAATGTGTAAATGGAAAGTGTAAAAATTACATTTGTCAGACATAGTTTGGTGAATCCTTTGAATAAAGTAAGACGTGTAAAAGGGAATCAACAAAGTTTTGTATAGTTGGCCAAAAGTTAATACATCTTAATATTAGTACAATACATTAGAAGGAAAATTCTGAGTATCTCCAAATTAGTAGTAAAAAAGTAAGAAATGTAGTATTCCTGTTAAACTATATAGAATGAGCATTGTGTATATTGGTTTAAAGTTACAGAAAATATTATCTAGTGAAGTTAACTGCATGTAAATTCCAGCTTAAAATTTCAAAGACAGAGAAATGTAGGTAAGTTTACTTTTGGAGAAATGGAAATGTAACATTATATTGTATTTAAAACAAGGGGGGAAAGTTAAGGGTAAAATAAAAATGTAATAAAAAAATTTTTAAAGGAAAGGGGGAAAATGAAATTTACTTTTGAAGTAAAATGCATAAGGGAAAAAACAAAAAACTACATTTGTGTAAACAAAAAACAGAAAAAAATTCAATTATGAAACTAAATATTACTTTTGTAAAAAATAAAGTTAAAAATGTACTAACACTTTTTTTAAAATAAAAAGCGGAAAGGAAAAATTAAATTTGTAAAAATAAATATTACTTTTGTAAAACCAAAAGAAGTGTAAACAAAAAATTAAAATAAAGTAAAGTAAAAATACGAAAAGGAATAAATTTTGGAAAAAAAAAAACTTTTGCAAAATAATAAAGTGAAAAAGAAAAATTCAATTCGTAAAAATAAATATTATTTTGTAAAACCAAAAAGAAAGTTAAATATAAAAAAGTAAAGTAAAAATACGAAAAGGAATAAATTTTGGAAAAAAAAAAACTTTTTGCAAAATAAAAAAGTGAAAAAGAAAAATTCAATTCGTAAAAATAAATATTATTTTGTAAAACCAAAAAGAAAGTTAAATATAAAAAAGTAAAGTAAAAATACGAAAAGGAATAAATTTGAAAAAAAAAAAAATCTTTTGGAGAGTAAAAAAGTAAAAAGAAAATGTAAATTCACTTTTTTAGAAATAAACGTCAATTTGTGAAAGTTAAAAATAAAATTTATGTTTGGGAAAGGAAAAACATATTAAATCAAAAATTAATAAATTAACTAATAACTTAAAAAATAGTAAGAATGAGTGCGCAGACTTTCAGGCTTATGACATCAATGGTGCAAATAATTTATAAAGTGACAAAGATCAAGTCTGGTTTCAAATAATAAGTCTGATAAGACGACCGGGTAGCGGTGTGGTAACGTTCAGGTCTTTTATCTCAGAGATGGCGGGTTCGAATCCCGCTCGTGGAGTTATTTTTAAATTTCAGGGAAAATAATATTAAATTCAATAAAAATTAATTAAAGGAAATAATTAAAATAATGACCTACTAAATAATTAAAATACTTGTTAAAAAGAGTAAATTAATGATGTACTAAATAATTAATCACGTGTCAAATAATGAAAAATAATAAATTAAAAGAGATGTCACTCCAATCACGTGGTTCAAGAGATCGTTGCCATAAACATAAAAATTGTTCGTTGCCACAAAAAATAGAATCTTTCAAAAACACAATATCGTTACCACAAAATCGAAACGAAACTTTGATGATGTCATTCCAACGCATCGCTTGCGGAAAATCACAAGATTGGCGCTGGTGTCGTCACTTCCCGTTCCAGGCCCCTCTGGATACTGGCCACGCCCCTTTTCTGTGACGTCACTTTCGCCGGCTGAGGTCCGTGGGTTACTACTCATTCTATTTTCAGGCTCGTTCCCCAGCCGCACAGCAGATGAACAAATTTAGACTTCGATAAACAAATTTCATCTTCGCTCACTCGATGTACAAACTTCAACATTGCAAAAAGTACATAGTATAACTGAAGTTTAGTGACCTGACTAATACATATGCTTTTCTTTTCTCTTTCTAGTCCTGCATACCCTTCTGTCTGAAAGTGTGATTACTTAGCTTAACACGCTACCGTCATTGATACTGCATCCTAATATACTATGTGTCTTCCCGATTTCAAAATAGGAAATTATATTACACGGTATAGTGTACAAGTTAATGGGAAAATTTTTTTCCACAAAATGTTAAGTTGGTTGCCAGTTTAAACAGCGGCACCAGCTGGTCTGTCAAATCAGTTTTATATGCCTTATTGCTATATGGATATCTGCTAAAGTATAAATTAGGTTTATTGTAGGATTTTTTCGCTTGTTTCTGTGAGAAGAGAAAGTTACTTTTGCGTACTTTTAATACAAAAAGTACGTTTTGATTTCGTTCATTTTAGTTTACTAATGATAGATATAACGCCCAGAAAGAGAGCAAAGATTATAGCACTTAACAATCAAACATTCATAACTATAACAAATATTACTTCTGCGACTGATGTTGGAAAATCAAGCGTTTCTCTAATTTTGAGGAAACACAACGAAATTGGATCGTTTTCTCCAGAACGAAAGGGCAAATGAGGAAGGAAAAGGAAAGCAACTCCAAATTCTAATCGATCCATGCTCAAAATGACGGTATTAATTCGATAAAAACTATCAAAGAAATCTGTTATCTTTTGGTATTGACACTGGTCTTTCAAACGTACAGCAACTCCTAAATCTGATCCATTCCTACTCCAAAATGACATTATTAATTCAATAACAACTAGTAAAGAGATTATTATCAATTGCTATTGATACTGAGCTTTCAACCGTGCAGCGTAGACTTCTCACTGCTGGTCGGGAAACGTATTAAATAATAGCATTTGATGGGACAAACGAATTAAATCGATTACTATGAGCCAAAAAAAATACAAATTTTGGACAAAAAATAACTGAAAAAGGTTGTTTTTGGCTATGAAACTTGTTAAATATTTGCATAATCGCCTGTAGTAACAGCAACCGCCATCAATAAAAGGAGGTGCTTTCCTTTTGGTAGCGGTGCAGTTCATTTTCAGTTCGAGCTAGAGTAGACCTGCCCGAGGGAGAAGCCAGGGGATGATAGATTCCGGTTCCCGTCTTGTTCCGGTTCCCGTCCTGTTCCGGTTCCCGTCTTGTTCCGGTTCCAGTCCTGTTCCAGTTTCAGTCCGGCCGTTTAAGTCCAAAACACGTAGGAGCTAAAGTCTAAATCCAGCGAATAGAGATATATGCCGAAAGGTCTAAATGGATTTTGTCTTTTTAAAGAAAGTGTTCTTCACCGTGCCGGAATAGCTGCCAGTTAAAGCATTTTTGAATGTTTCCACCTAAGATGTTAAGTTTTCGTCATTTTTGAAGTTGCAGTTGAATAAACCTTTAAGTTTTAGACAAGGTTTTTGTGTTCCTCAGAAATTTTAGATTCGAAGTCACATATATCACATAGGATTTAACGGAAAAATCAACAAAACTTATTTAAATGTTATGGTTACACATCTGATGTGTTAGATGAGTGAATCAAAAAGACCGATAAACCATGCCCTCAAAAACAAATGTTTTGGAATTTTCACTGCAGATGGCCCTAGTAATCTAGTTCCTATTGACGGAATGATGAATTAATAGAAGTATACATAAATTTTTAAACACAGTATTGTGGCATTCTAGAGAACCTTTGCAGGAACATTTCAACATAACTTGACTTCATGCCGCAATCCAAAATATGTCAGGAGGTTTATGTTGGAAAATAAAGTTTTGTGCTAGATTGGCCTGGAATTTCCCCAGACTTAAATCGAATCGAAAACTTGTGGCACATTTTCAAGGAATATCTTAGCAAAATGGATTGACGACAAAAGAGCGCATGATTAAGGATGTTAAAAAAGTTTGTTTTTATGATAAAGAAGTAAAACATATACGCACAAGACTAATAGAGTCAATGTCTAAAAGGATTTAGAAGTCATTTTTGCTAAAGGATGATATATTTTCTATTAATTTTATTATTATAACTGTGTACGAATGATGTGCATAAGTTATATAAATAATCGCCCTGTCCTAATTAAGTTCAGCACTGTAGTATGTTATTACAGTTTATTTTAGCTGCATATCTGCCAAATCCTTCTTGTGCTCAATATGGTTTTAAGTTTTGTGCTTTATTTGATGTGATTTATAGGTTTATCTTTATGCGTTTCTTATTTCCATTGATAAATGGTTTGAGTCACAACTGAAAGAAAGTATTTATAATACTATTAGATAATAATTTGTGATTTTATAAGGTATTTTCTCCCTCCTTTCTGCATGCCTTCGGGGTGTAACGGTAGCACACTCGGCACGCATTCGAGAGGTCCAGGTTTGAGTCCCAGCGAGGGCATTGCTCATTTTTCATGTTTTCTGCTTCAAAATAACCTAATATCTCTACTATTTCATCGTGAATTTACAGATGATAAATCATTCATTACAAATTTATAAGATTTTATGATATCGCTCATAAAAAGTTTTGGTGTGTTAAATGATATTCTTATTTTGCGTACTGAATCTAGGAAACTTTTGAATTTCCCATAGCGTTTTTAATATTTTTTTAATTATACACATAGTGAAAAATTCTAATGGAATGTGATTCTACAGTGTAAAATTCTGATGTGGATTCGAAATTGTTTTGATAACATAAAAATGGCATGCTTCATAGAGCAGCTTTCTGATTTGGCCGTATGCTATTCTTCAACATACAGTTCTAGATAGTTCAGTTGTGATACATCACGATTATTTTGTACTTATATAAATGACTTATTTGTGAGATGTCGCAGTAGGTGTAAAAGTCACTGCAGTGGTAAACAGTAAGAATGATTTAAAATATTGAAAAGTGTTGATTAAAAATTTCTAATCATACTTTTGAAAGCAGAATGACAATCATATAACGCATTTTGTTTGATATTTTGATGAAAAGGCTATTTGGTAATGAGAAACAGAAGGTGAGAGTATCTAACTAGGCTTATTAACAGAATTTTCGAAACCAGGTCTCGGGAATCTGAGGGTTCGTTGCAAATTACCCTCAAAAGGAGTCGCTAAATTTTATTAATGATTAAAAACTCTTATCTCAAGTTGAAATCTACTCTAAGTTTCTCATTTTAAGATAAGTCACATTCGATTGAATTGCATGTGATAGAGTATTGCAAGGTAGCTTCCAAGTTATGAGCTGAAACGCAGCCAAATTTAAACTTCTAGCCAGGAATGTTCCAGATGTGTAACAAATACACGTATAGCATTTTTTTGCAAATGCGAGAAGAATCATTAATATATTAAGTAAATAATTTTATTCATAGGGACTCCGATTAAAAGTTGCACAGAAAACATTTTACCTAGATATCCTTTGAAATTATAATCTTTGAAATATTAATACAAGAAAAGTAAATTGCTTCAATTTCTTATCAAGTTTAGCTCTTGCAGTTTTCTTAAACCAATAAATCTAGGACCTTTTACAGAGAAAGATTTAAGAATAGTAGAGCAAAACAAATTATAACTTGATAACCAGTAATAACTGTTTAGTATCAATATGTTTTTGCTATCACTGTCATTTGCTGTTGCAAAATATAAAATTACGACCAAAAATTATATATTAAAAGTTTCATTGTATTGCAAAATGGTTTCTTACTTTTTGTCAGATTTGATTAGCCATGGAATCCAGAACTGCTAAAATTAAGTACGAGTTTACTGAATAAGAAATAATAAAAGACGTAGTTTTTTCTTTCATTGCTGTTTAAACAGACGAAAAATCTTACCTCTAGAAACTGGTGATACGAGATGCAATCCAACACAGGCTCCACCTGCACTATTGCCAAATATTGTAACGTCTGTAGAATTGCCACCAAATGCAGCAATATTTTCTTTGACCCATTTCAAGGCTAAAATTTGGTCTAGTAAACCGTAGTTACCTTTAGCATTCGAATCTTCAGTACTAAGAAAGCCTGAAAGAGAAAATAAATTCTTTATATTTTTATTATAAATAAGACTATTATTAATTCTGAATTATAATTAATTATTTTAATTGCAAAATTATCTTTTGAAGAATCTACAACTCTTAAGCGAGTATAAAAGATATATTTTGAAGTAATTTCTTGAATCCAGGCTTCTGAAGATTTTCAAGTAAATGCTGAGTATATTTCATAATGAATTGCAAGTCAAGTGGTTGAATGGATATGTAAAAGATTCTTAGAAATTCGACCTTTTACTAAAAATTTGCTCCGGCCTACCAATTTTCTCGAACTTCTAAATAATTTGCGAAAGATTGGTAAAAAGTAGTAAGCGCCCGTAACCGGCCGGCGGAAGTGACGTCATAGAAAAGGAGTGTGTACTCCGCCATCTTGGATCACATGACAACCGGAAGTGACGTAGTCGAGTTGAATGACGTAATCGGGTTGAGTTTCGTTTTGATTTTGTGGCAACGATCCTACTTTCCAAAGTTTTTTTGGTGGCAACGACACTATTTTTTTATGTTTATGGCAACGGTATCTTGAACCACGTGTTTGGCATGATATCCGCTTTATTTTATTATTTTTACTTATTAACGCTTTTTAATTATTTAACACTTGATTAATTTTTTATTTAATCCGTCATTTTTTATTAGTTTTTATTATTCCATTTATTTTAATTTTATTGAATTTAATATTATTTTCCTGAATTTTAAAAATAACTCCACGAGCGGAATTCGAACCCGCCATCTCTGAGATGAAAGACCTGAACGTTATCACACGGCTACCGAGTCGTTTTATCAGACTTGTTATTTGAAACCCTCTTTGTCTTATTTGCACCATTAATGTCATAAGGCTGAAAAACTGAGCAATGCGCTTTGACATGAAAACCGCGTCACGCGTTTGTTTTTACACGACGGCTAGGATTTCTTTTGGCTTCTTAATCATTATTTTATTCATTGCTGTTTTAAATGTAAGATTTCCACTTTTTTTTTTTTTAATTATTATATTAGATATTTTTAATTGTTTTCATTTTCATCTCATTCTTACTATTTTTAAGTTATTAGTTAATTTATTAATTTTTATTTATTTTTTCCTTTCCAAACATAAATTTTATTTTAACTTCGCAAATTGACGTTTACTTCCACAAGTGAATTTACAATTTTCTTTTACTTTTTTAGCATTTTGTTTAAAGTATATTTATTTTTACGAATTGAATTTTTCCTTTTCACTTTTTTTATTTTGCAAAAGTTTTTTTTTTTTTTTTCCCAAAATTTTATTCCTTTTCGTATTTTTATTTTACTTTATTTTAATTTTTTTAAAAATTTTTTTGGGTTTTACAAAAGTAATATTTTTTTTACGAATTTAATTTTTCCTTTTTCGCTTTTTATTTAAAAAAAGGTGCTACTACATTTTTTAAAATTTTTTTTTACAAAAGTACATTTAGTTTCTTTTTTAATTTTTTGGAATTTTTGTTTACACATGCAGTTTTTTTTTTTATTTTTTTTGAATTTTTCCCTTATGCATTTTAATTCAAAAGTAAATTTCATTTTTTTTTCCCTTTCCTTAAAAATTTTTTTTGTTTACATTTTTATTTTACCCTTAACTTTTTTCCTTGTTTTAAATACAATGATGTTACATTTCCATTTTCCAAAGTAAACTTACCTACATTTCTCTGTCTTTGAAATTTTAAGCTGGAAATTACATGCATAACTTCACTAGATAATATTTTCTGTAACATTAAGCCAATATACACAATGCTCTTTCTATATAGTTTAACTGGAATACTACATTTCTTACTTTTTTACTACTAAGTTGGAGATACTCAGAACTTTTCCTTCTAATGTATTGTACTAACTATTAATGACTGTATTAACTTTTTGGCCAACTATACAAAACTTTGTTGATTTCCCTTTTACACGTCTTACCTTTATTCAAAGGATTCACCAAACTATGTCTGACAAATGTAATTTTTACACTTTCCATTTACACACATTTACCCTTATATTTAACTTATAAAACATATTCATGCTGTATTTCTGATTCCTTTTCCCCAAAAAAATAAATATAGACTTACACATGTTTCTTTATTGTAAGACCTACTGACTTTAAACAAATCTTATAAGGAGCAATAAATTTTCATGGTATGAAGCCCACTCAAACCAATGCATGGAGCATTTCTACCCAGTTAAGTTTAGATACGGTACCAATAGTACTTCATTTCTTTCTTTTCTTATTTTCTTATTTTACTCTACAGACATTTATACATATATATATTCAGGACACTCCCTTTTATTCAGTAAGATTCATTTATACTACTAACACAAATTTTGCTAACTCTTTGAAATATTTTACAAAAAATATCTTGTATTTTCTTGCACACATCCTACTTAAATCACCAAACATACACTGAACCTTGATTTTTCCTTCATGTGAAAACGTCACTCGGATTCTTAATATGATTCCACCATTTACCGCAGAACTTTATAAACACTACTCTATTTGAACTTATCACAGCCTTACTCTCTTAACAAGGTACAGAAGATTGAATTATATTTTAACTACAGAGAAGAATATCCACATTGTAACGTATTATTTTAAATTTGAATTATAGTCACATTTTGTGAAGGAGAACTTAAAGTCTATAATACACATGGAATTAATATTCAGCCATGGAAATGAAACTTTATCGCCTTTTTTTTTCCCAACTTGGAATATAAAAATTTGTTAACTTGGAATATTTTTAACGTATTCATTGTAACTTAACTGAAAAATACCCATATTTCACATTGTCAATAATTTATTTAGCACTGAACTCTTACAGCCTTTTGAGAACGAAATTTAATTTATCATACCTGACAAATGACTCCTACATAGTTATGATACATTACACGAAATATTGAGTAGAGTTCCAAATAATGATCTAACATAGTAATTAACATAAAAGACCTAACACAAATAATTTTAAGATAGAAATTTCAAACTGACATTGCTTAACCTTTACAGCTTTATTTGACATTTAACTTCTCATAGATAAGTAAATAAAATTACACACAAATAATTATAACTAATAGGTAATAATGACAGAAACTCCATATAATCTACTATAGTCACCAACTTTAAAAATTTTAACGCATTTTAATATGTCATAAGAAAGACCACACTTTCAAAAAAGCATTATTTTAATTAAACATTGGAGCCATACAATCCTGCGCACATGTTTTTATTTATCATGAGCATGACACATAATAAGTAAAAATTTTCACAAAGTACGAAACACATTTCTCTTTAACGGGCTGTATTCTTAAGAAAAGATGCAGTATGGAATGCTTAGAACCACTCGATGCCACAGTTCCTCATTTCCCCACGCATTGATCAAAATATACATGTACTTTAAAATCAGTTAAACAAATTCAAATGTTAGTATTCAAACAGGAATACTTCACAAATTAGATAAAAGAGAGGTACACAATGAACTTGAGTGATAAATACAGAAAAGCATGTAAGGACCGAGAAAAAGATGTATTCGTGGAGAACTTTTTTAAGATAAACTTGCTCTATTTTTGCACATGGGTTACATTTTGCATTTCAGATTAAGGAAACATTCAAGATAATTCCTGTATAACTAGGGATTTTATTCACACTTGTTAGTAATGTAATTTATTAGAACAGTCGCAGACATATAGGACAAGTATGCCATTTCCAAGGAAAACAATTTTCCCAAGCCAGACTTTAACAGTGAAATATAAAATGGAATAAGAAAATCCCATATTTCCAACAAAATTAGTATCTGAGTATGCAAAAACATGAACAAGAAACGAATATTTTTTCTGAAAATGTTCCGAATGGTTTAAGTCAGGACTAGTTTCATGAACAGAGCATGAAAAATAATGATGAATTTTTAATTTTTTTTTTGTCTGTAGTACATTTACTTATGCTAAAATCTTTCATTTGGTTGACTGTACTCTACATTTGGGCACTAAGTTGATAAATCAGAGTGATTTTGTGTTTGAAAGCTTCAAATTCAGAAATACTATACAACTCAAAAGCAAAAAGATTAAAACGACAAGAGAATATACTGCAAGCAAGCGAACGTGATAAATGACTTTTTGGGCTGAATTTCATGAATTCATAGATCGGGTGCAAAATTTTAATGCACTGTATATGAACTATTTTTCAAATGTATTACGATCACTGTTTTCCAACTTTACATAGACTTACATAAGTTTAAAACATTTCATGTTAATTTACCATTTTTCCTGAGATTTATATCTACGTATTTACTAAATTTTTGCATTTTGTTTATAAATATAATACCAAAAGGACATAAGAGAACATTTGTTTCTTGAAAATGTCCATAATTTTTTACCCAACTGTTATTTCTTTCATAGCTTTGAAGTAACCTATTAAACACATAGTTATCTTGTATTGCCCTGACAGCCGTTGGTCTTGCCAATGTCTGAGGGAAGTCACAAAGCTAGAGAATTTAAGTAATATTTTACCAGTACGGAGAACTTCTTACGGCGTTTTTGATGAAAATTGACCGAATTTAGTAGTTCATTACTAACCTAGGAGCCTTTAACTATTTTTTTTATTCGAAAAAAAAAAAAAAAAACACACTCAGAAATTATCATCAAGATTTTCCATACAGATATATTGTACTACTTTTCATTTCCAAATGAAATTTGATTCATTGTCAGATAGTTAAATGTTTGTTTTTTTTTTCGCATACGAATGCATTTTCGTGTCTCACATACGCTCATTACATATGATTTAACAAAATTACAAACAAGTTAGAAGTTAAATGAATATTTCCTGAAATACTGTACATTTCATTCCGGAAAGTTTACATGAGTACCTTCATTTCGAAACCCTTTAATGTTTCTTTTCCTGCATTCAAAGTAAATTTTGAGAGTAAAATTTTTCAGTTTGACGAGAAGTTATTTGTGGGTGGCTGTGATGTGTTCGTGTTTTCATAAACCGTTTTTTGTGAAGTA